GACTCCTGGGACCTGCTGGACGCCACCGTTGTTTGCCGCCAGCTGGGCTGCGGGTTGGCTGTGAATTTCACCGGCTCTGCTCATTACGGGGAAGGCTCTGGGCAGATCTGGCTGGACGACGTGAACTGCTCCGGGGGTGAAGCTGCTCTCTGGGACTGCCCGGCCAGGCCCTGGGGGCAGCACAACTGCAGGCACGGAAAGGACGCAGGAGTCATCTGCTCAGGTCTGTGCTGGGAAAGGTAGTGGGATGTTGGTGCCCGGGGAGCTAGAGATGAGGACGGAGTTGGGCATGGCCAAGATCGTCCCAAGCCCCTTTCCTGCCCCCATTCAAGTCCACTGCCAAGAGACCTACTCAGCACAGCCATGTTTTCCCCCCACTTTGTGCCTTTCTTTCCAGACTTTGTGTCCCTAAGGCTGGAGAACAGTGATGGCTGCTCCGGGCGCCTGCAGGTTTTCTACAATGGGACATGGGGGAGTGTTTGTGCCAACTTGATGACTACAGAAACCACATCCGTAGTCTGCAGACAGCTGGGCTGTGGAACTGAAGGGTCCATTGAAACAGTCCATCAACAGGGCAATATATCTGGGCCCATATGGCTGGATCATGTTCAGTGTGGGACGAAGAACAGCTCCTTTTGGCAGTGCCCCTCTGCCTCCTGGAACCCACAGACATGTAACACACAAAAAGAAGAGGCTCACATCACCTGCAATGGTAAGTGCCACGCGGGCACAAAGCTCCATGCCAAGTCTTGCTCTCTGCTCAGCAAAGTGCAGTGCAGAGAAAGAGCTTGGAGGGGCTTTCCATAACCATTTATGACCTTTCTGCTAGCATTGACCTAAACACAGCTTAAGCTCTTGGGGTGACAAGGGTCCATCAGCAATAGCTGTCCTGAGCTCCCCACATGCCCAAGAAGGGGCAGAGGCACCTCCATGCAGACCCTCCTCCACCTCAGCTTGGATTCTTCTTGGAGGAGCTCCTCATTTTCAATAGACAGCACCAGGACCACCAACTTTGGCTTGGAAAGTCTCAGCAGGGCATCCTGCTCATGGCTGTGGCTTGCTGAGGGAATGGGAAAAAGAGGAAGGCTGAAACAGTCCTAGTGGCTGTGGGTTATGTGGAAAACAGACCTTGGGGACTGCCAGTCCAAGAGCTTGGGAAAGCCTTCGGGAAGCATCTTTCTGCTCCTCCAAACACTGTCACTCTGGGATTGGGTCTTGAGGACAGTGCTGGTACACGTTGAATTACCAGGCGTTGCAGCTGCTATCCATAACCAAGGAGACTTGAGGTTGTGGTATCCTCAAGCCTGAGGGACTTCTGCAGCTCCCTGGGTTCATCCCCTGGGCTGCCAGAGAGAGCACCTGGGTGCTGTCACAGGCACTCAGAGAAGGGCAGGTCAGAAGGAACTTGTAGGACATGTTCGCAGACACACACAGATATCTCTGTTCCTCTCTACACTGCAGTTCCACCCAGGACGACGAAGTCGCCCCTTCAAACAGGTAAGATCGCCTTCTCCTCCCTTGGTTATGTCTTCGGGCCAGGTTGTGACATGCAGCCCAAGGTAAGAGGCTCTGTGCTGGGGTCTGAAGTCCCAGAGAAGAGGTCTTGAGGTGGGAATGAGTGGCTTTGGGGAGAGCTGTGATGCCCCATGATCCATCCCTGTGTCCCCACACTTTGCTGCAATGTTAGAGAGGGATCAGCACTGGGGCATACTTGGTCCCCATACACCCAGGCCAGGAGCTGCCTTATCCATGTCCCTGCCTGTGCAGATAGTCCCCTGGGCAATGAGAATGACAGTGGAGGAGTCTCGGTGCCTGTTGTCATCTGCATCATCCTGACGGTCACGCTGTGCCTGGTCCTGGCCTTCCTGGCAGTGCAAGTGCAGAGAGCCAGGGCTCAATACAGAGGTGGGTCCTTCCCCATCGGTGCCAGAGTGGACGATGCCCCTTGGCAGCCCCATGGGGCTGTGGGGTGTGTGTGAGGGCACAGAGGGGCTGGAGTGAGGGTGCTCCCTCCTGTCCTATTCCCTGTTCCTTCACTGTTTGTTTGTGGGACACCCACAAGCAGGAGTCGTGGGAGAGCTGATGCAGGAGGAGATGGTGATGGGGGCAGAGGGAAAAGGCAGAGAGGGGCTGGGGGAGATGGGAGCAGCAGGGGATGTCCAAGGACACTGCTGGCTGCGCTCTGGACAGCACTGGGGGGAGGCTGTGGGGCAAGAGCGGTGCCAAGAGGAGCTCAGGGCAGGGAGTCTCTCAGAGTGGGAGTCGGTCCCTGGGCTGCTCCCTTTTTCCTGCCCTGTTCGCCCAGATCAGGGCAGGGCCATGATATGGATCCATCTGACAGACCATGAGGAGCTCCCTGGGGAGAGGAGCTGTGGGAGCTTCTCCCTTGTCAGAGCAGGGACTGACTCAGACCAAAAGGGACATTGGGGGGTGACTCTGAAGAGACAGCATGACGTGACGTTTCCTCAGACCATCTCTACAGGGCCGTTGCTGTCACAGGGAATCTGGCCATGGTGCCTGGGCAGAGCAGTGGGTCTGGGCTGTGCCCAGGGTGGAAGGGCTTGGTGCCCACACTGGGGTTCTTCTCCTTTCTCCATGTGCCTGTGCTGATCCTGCCCATGTCCTCAGCTTCCAGGAAGTCTCTGGAGCCCTTCTCTGAGGCTGTGTACCAGGAGATTGACTACAGTCAAGTGTGGGAGAAGAAGGCGAGGTTCGGTCGTCCAGGTCTATCTGGTGGGTTCTGGAGAGAGCAAATGACAGGGCCCTTTCCATCATCTCTAACCCATGATGGGACCGTCACAGCACTTGGGCCAATTTTCCCCTCAGTGCTGGGGTCATGGGTTCCTTCAGGAGAGCAGCCCAGTACTGGGCTCAGGCGAGGAGCTTCCTCCCCACCAGCTCTGCCCATCCCAGCCCGGGCCACCGATCCTCCCTGCCTGCCCTGCTGTACCCATAGGTTGTACCTGGCGGGTAAGGGAAAGGGGTGGCTAAGGCAGTTCTGAAAGGCCCTTGGAGATGGGGTTTGTCCCATGGGAGCAGGACAAGCCCTGAGCCCTCCTCCCCATGCAGTCCCTGCTAGGTGGGTCCCCATCCCAGGAAGCCTTGGACATGAGCAAGGTTGGCAGGGTCACCTCTATAACACCTGCTGTTCCTCTTCCCAGACTCTTCCCAGAGGTCCCTGCCGCAGTGCAGCTCCAGCAGCAGCAAGGAAGAGGAGGAAAGTTCTCGATCATCTCTAGGTAATGGAGGGGGAAGCAGAGGAAGGGTCGATTGCTTCTCCCCATGTCACCAAAACTGGTGTCACTGGGTGTCACCATTGCAGTGGGTGCACTGTCAGATGTGGCCCCAAAGCTGTGCTGAAAGGGCAAGGGTTGGACATGTCCATCTTCCCTGTGCCCCATGGGGACTTCCCAGTCTCAACCCGTCCCTGCCTCCAGCAGGCCCCGAGCTCTTCTCATCATCACCAGCTCCTGTCTCCTTTTAGTTGTCCCCATCCTGCCCACAGGTGACCCAGCAGGTGGCTATGACGATGCCAGAGAAGTATCCGACCCTGGAGAGGATCTTGTTCCTGGGCCGCGAGACTGGGAAGCACCCAGGGAAGCAGAGGAGTGTGCTGGGCTTGAGGAGGCACAGAGAGGTGAGGGGGAAATGGACCTGCTGGCTCCTGGGGTGCTCTCCCCAGGGCCAGGAGAGTGGCAGGAGCCTGAGAGCCCCACATCCCGGCATGGGGAGGGAACCTGCCCCAGGAGTTTTCCTGGTGAGGAGAATGGGGTGGGATCAGGGGACTGAAGGTCTCAGGGCAGTGAGACGAGAGGGAGGAAGGGGATTTACGGCCTAGAAGGGGCAGGTGCGTGGGGCAAACTGCAATGCGCTGGCCTTGCTGCTCGCAGTGGGGAGCATGCGCTGCTGGGAGAGTGACAGGGCCCCCAGGGCAATCGGAGCTGCCCCATCCTCTCCCTTTACAGACATGGGCTACGATGATGCTGAAGAGGCGCCTCCAGTGCATCCCCATGAGGACACCGAGGCTGTGAGACTGGACCTTGGTGGAAACAGCCCCTGAATCCAGATCAGCATCTTTCACCCATTCCATGTGTTTGGGTGCAGCTGTAAGAGCCATGAGCACCAGAGAGCTCCCTTCTCCCCACAGTAAAAAGAAAGAGCGGGGCATTTCCTCCATTTTAATTTCTCTGCTTTTGCACCATGCATTGCCATTTGTTCTTATTAAAACCATGTGTTGATGTTTCCCTCCCCTCGTGTCAGGGTTTCTGTCTGAGGTGACCAGGGAACAGCGGGCTCAGAGACAGGCTGTGTAAGTGTCCATGGTCCCTGCACTGCCACCCCCGGAGTGGCCCCATTTTCTGTCTTCCCAGGGGCTCCCTGGTCAGCCCCAGAGGGACTCATTGCCCAAGGGTCATCTCCCAGAAGAGGACAGAAGCACATCCTTGAGAATGCTCACAAGGCTCCATTTCCGTCACAGAGACAATTTTACGTCTGAACTTAAAGCGAGCACTGATGACGGCTGAGACAGGACCCTTGTGCCTAGACTGCATTTTCAATCAGTTGTGGCCCAGCTGCCACCAGCACCCTCTCCCATGGCAGTGGTTCCCCATCCCCTCTACTTGTGGCTCCACCAGCTCCAGGCCCTGCGCTCATCTTCTGTGGGCAGCAGCGCGTCCCAGGGCTGGGGATGTCCCAGATGTCCTCCAGAGCAGAACATGCCACTCTGGGTGAGCCACCTCACAGTCATTCAGCATGTGCCTTACCAAGTTGGTGATAAAGAGAAGGGTATTCAAGCAGCATCTCCCTCTTCAAACATATCACAGCCCTGACCGAGAAGAGGCGGGCACTGTCTTAATGTGAACCCAAAAAGGAATCTGGACCTGAAACAGAGGTATGAGGACATGGAGATCCTATCATGGGACATCCCTGAGATCAAAGCCTGGGGGTATATGGAGATGCCATGGGAAAAAGCAGGAGACAGTGTCTAGTCTCCCAGACAGAAATCCCTGCTGAGCTGAGGAACAGTTCACGGATTTATGTGCAGAACAGGCACTTCCAGCAGCTTCTCCAGCTGGGGCTGCAGGACTCCTCAGCCTTCCTCTAGGGGGACAGGAAGCATGAGGCCATGTGATCTGCAGCCAATGGGGTGTCGTTGGTGGGCGATGCATGGCCAGGGGGTGTGAGGCCTGTTGACTTGTGGCCAATGGGGTGTTTTGTTTCCCTCTGTCTCCCCAAGCGTGGACAGGGGTGTGCAGAGGACACAGGGAGTCCTCTGCACACCCCATGTTGTGCTGTGTTAGGATGCACAGGTGAGAGAAGCATTGACATGGATGTCTTGTACTGCTGTGAGCAAGTTTGGGATCGTATGTAATTAATGCAGGTAGATCCATCAGCAGTACCAGGTTGGTCGCTCAAGCTGGGATAAGCAACACTGCCATTTATTTGGCATTTCTTAATCTTAATGCTCTAGGTGAGCGTTTGGAGGAGCCGTCTAATCCCCTTTGTTAACAGTTCTTCCCCTAAAAAGGCAAAGACAACAAGAGCACCAGCAGAAGCTCCCACGTGAGCATGTCTTCACTTGACCATGGAGGTGCCATCTGGGGATGGCCAAATGTCAGGGCCAGGCGCTACCCAGGAGCTCCCTTTGGGCTCCCTCTTGTTGCTCTTCTGTCTTTTGCATAGCCGCTGTTCTTAGTGCCTTATTCTCTAAGGAGGCGAGCTGAAGAAGGAAGAGGAACAGGGAGAAGGCAGAAGAATTCTGCTCTAAGTCAGGCCGTAAGTGATGGGCTCTGCTTTTGATGATGTTTTAAGGTCGGTGTGATGTGATGTGATGTGATGTGATGTGATGTGATGTGATGTGATGTGATGTGATGTGATAGAGGCCACTTGCAAGTAAGCCCAGGACAACATGGTTCCATGTTAAGCTAATCAGTCTGGAGCCAAGTTAGGTGGGGCCAAGAGTAAAAGGGAGAGACAAACATCAGAGGGATCCTTTTGTCCTCAGGCAGGAATTCTGCATTCCATGTGGAAATCTGATCCTGGTGCATGACAAGTGCCCCTTGGATTTCAGGGCCACGTAGTTCAAGGTCAGTCTCCAGAACTTGCTTCTTTCTCAGGAGGGATGTCAGAGGAAGAGCTTCTTTCCTCTGGTTCTGCCATCACCAGAAGGATGGACATTGGAGAGGGGGAAGCATCCTCCCTCTTTGGCCAGGGGAATTGCTCCTGCTTTTCTTGCTTCTGTCTATTTCTGTTAGCAACACACTTAAGTATTTCCCAGTGGGATTTAAATGGGTTTTTGTCTATTGCCTCTCATCCTATGGCTGGTCCCCACTGAAAAGAGTCTGGCCTCATCCTCTTCACACAGCCCCTTCAGATGGTTAAGCAGTAACTTCTGCTCCACAGAGTCACCTAAAGAAGATGGTTGGGAACTGAGTTTCTTGGGTTATTTTGAAAATTTTCAAGTGTGGAGCTACCACCACCTTTCTGGGCAGCCTGCTGCTCATTCACCAGCTTGGTGTCCACCTGGACCTCCAGGTACTTCTCTGCAGAGCTGCTGTTCACCAGGTCCCTTCCAGCCTGGCCTGGTATCTGGGATTATCCTTCCCCAGGGGCTAGACTTGAACCTTCACATCATTGAACTTCAGAAGGTTCCTCTCTGCCAATGCCCCCTCCCCACCCTTCAAGTTCCAACTGAACAGCAAAACTTGGTCAAGCCTGTTACTGCTTGATTCCTCCCCAGTTTGTACCACAACCCCAATGTCATGTCTCACAGGAGTGCTGAGATGAGTCCTTTCAGAGCACGTCATTCCACGATACAAACCCCCTCCTTGCGGGCTTTCACTCCAGGAAGGCTACAGGAGAAAGAAGCAATTTGGAGATACCTCTGTTGGCCATCGTTGGCTATTCCAAATTCCAAGCCAATTTTGAGGAACCAGTGCATTTTTGTGGATGGGGGAGGAATTGTATATGCTTTTATCATACACTGAGCAGCAAAGGGACTAGTAGGGGCATCTGGCCCATCAGGGGATGCCATCCAGCCTGTGCCTGGAGAAGAAGAGCAGACCAAGTTTGGGGATGATGAGCAGAGTCAGGTGCAGTGCAGCAATGTCCAGGCAAGACACAAGACTTTGTCCTCCTCTGCCTCTGCCCAGGCATGGCTGGCATGGGGACAAGCCATCACAGAGCATGGTTGAAGTAGCTCAGCGGGGAGAGCACTAGACTCAAGATCTCACTG